TGTATATTGTATATTATATTATATTACAGTATCAAGTGTATATTGTATATTATATTATATAATAATAATAAGTTTATTTTCAGTAATATAGGACTACGACCAACGTTACAATATTATAAATTTTTACATTACATGAATGAATACTATTTACAATAACAAAAATATATTTACAATAAATAATTAGCATTTAATCGATATGTATTAAGCATTTACAAATTTTTGAAGATGTTTTCTATACATTTGGATAAACTTAAGAGGTGAAAATCATCATTGGAGTTTAATTCATTTAGATAGTTGTTTCTGGTTATATGTACAGTATTGATACCAATCCTCAAGTTTTCTGTTACTTTACATTCAAACAATAGATGGAACAAATCTTCACTTGATAGTTTACATAATCGGCACAAGGGACTATTTATTGAATTTCTCTTATATAGATTGACAGCAGTTGGAAATAAATTCAACCTGATTTTAACAATGTTTCGTTTGTGTTTGAAAGGAATACTTGAAATTAGATAGGATTCTTTGAAAAGACAGGGCTTACATTTGATATACTCTTTAAGACTTTCACTTAGTGCTAACTTTGAAGACCATTCTTGCAAGTCTATGTCCGACAGTCTTAATTTAATTTGATTTACAAATATATGAATATTTCCGATATTTTCATTGTCAAATACATATCTAAAACCTAACGAATATAAAACTTGTTTTACTTTAGTCACCCAGGAAACTCTTCCGATTTCATCCAACTGTCTCAGCATAATGTATACTTGTTTGGGGTATCGATCTATAGGCATACATACAAGTTTACACCAATATTTTACACATGAAGTTGTATAATATATGCTTATATTTTTTCTGCCACATTCTCCGAGTGTCCCAACATTTGTGGAACTTTTATGAATCCCAAGAATAAATTTACAAAAGTTAAGATGAACCTTTTCAATATCATGTCTATACTCAAAACCCCAAATCTGTGAACCATATAATAATATTGGTTTTATAATGCTATCAAAAACTTTAAAACATATATTTATACTTGGATAACCAGTTCTCCTTATTAAACTTTTTTGGGAATAAGAGCCTTTTCAGCTTTGACGGCTAAATTATTAATGTTTTTGCTCCCATTCAACCTAGATGAGAAGATTATTCCCAAATAATTATAATAAGTTGTAAGAGGTTCATTGTTATAATACCATCTTTCGTATTTACGTAAAGTACCACCATTTCTAAATATAATAATTTTGGTTTTAGAAAAATTGACATTTAGATTAAATTAATCACAAAATGATTCTAAAACAGAAATCTTTCTTTGAAGATCTCCTACAGTATCTGAGAATATTGAGAGATCATCAGCATACAGCAGTGCTAATATGTCTTGAACCTCTGCTATTGTGAATATTCCGTTTACAGTATGTTCCATTTCCAGCATATCAATGAGTTGGTTAATATAAAAACAAAATAATATTGGGCTTAGAATACAGCCTTGTCGGACACCAGATAAACAATCAAAAAAGGGTGTTATTGAAGAGCCAAGTTTTACACATGAACTCGTAGAATTATACATCGATTTAAGTGTTGTATACATTTTACCATGGATATCCTTTTTAATCAGTAGAGATAATAACTTCAATCTATTTAAAGAATCGAATGCTTTAGAAAAATCAACATAGAGGCAGTAGAACCTCCCTTTAGATTTAGATAAATACTTCTGAACTAATCCCTGAAGAGTGAATATTTGATCTATGGTCGAGTACCCGGTACGAAAACCTGCCTGAGCCTCCGTATATTTGTCGAGTGATTCTGACCATATTTGCAATCTATAATTCAAAACGGAAGTATAAATTTTACCAAAGCTATCCAAAAGAGAGATACCACGGTAATTATTCACATCGCTTTTGAAGCCTTTTTTTATGCAAAGGGGATATCAGTGCTTAAACAATAGAGACAATATAGGGGTTAACTGTGAACAACAAGATTTTATAAAATCGATTCCAATACCGTCCATACCAGGTGATGTACCTGCTTTCATTTTCTTTATACTTTTCATCACTTCTTGTTCTTGTAATGGACCGTTTAATATAAAATCTGTTTCACATGCTGTGTTAACACAGATGTTTTCAAAAGAGTTGACATGTAAGAAAGTTTCGTGTGAAAATTCACTATTGATGGTGGCAGGTGACGGATTCAGTAACTCTTTAAAGTAGTTAGCCAATTCTTCTGGCGATATGTTATATTATTATTATATTATATTACAGTATCAATTGTATATTGTGTATTTGGTTATATTACAGTATCAAATGTATATTGTACATTATATTATATTGCAGTGTTCAGTGTATACTTATATTGTATATTATATTATATTGCAGTATCAAGTGTATATTGTATATTATATTATATTACAGTATCAAGTGTATATTGTATATTATATTATATTGCAGTGTCCAGTGTATACTAATAATGTATATTATGTTATATCGCAGTGTCCAGTGTATACTTATATTGTATATTATGTTATATTGCAGTATCAAGTGTATACGACCGCTGTTTTTGCCATTGGCTACCTATCGATGATCGTATGTGGAGTGGTGAGGTGGACTTCATATACATTGAAAACTGGGCTGAAGATGTAGACTTTACTGAAGGTAATATTATATATAATAAAAACTTTACGATTGGTTTGAGCTAACACTTAGACACCATTCTTAGTTTTGCATTCTATTTTTTTTTTTTTTTGCTTCTTGAATCCTATTTATAACTTATAGAACCCTTGTGAGGATCTCTAAGGGTACCTGCGAAGGTACAATATATCTTGTTTTGTAAGAATGTAATATTTAACACTGCTGAGCTGCGTTATTTGCTTCTTCTATCACATGAGGGAGGGGTTCCAGAATATAGCTAATAAAGTTTAAGAACGGTTGAAAAGTAAGATGACTGAATCCACTGTAAATCCACTATAATGTGTTATAATTATTATTATTTCAGATGATAACTTGATTAGCAGCAGGGTTAGAAAATCTACCAGCAGATCTACTAGTAAGTATTTTATATTATTTACAATCATTTACTGTAATAATCTCAGATAGATTTAGTATTGGTAGTTATGAAACTACTAACACTACTTCTGGTGGAAAATCATAGTTCGGGACCTGTATTCGACTATGTTAAGAATTTCAAGCCTAATTTTTTCAACACACCACTAACTATTGATTACTTTTTCTTTTAGATGCCATCAAAAAAGAGAACTGGGAAAATGAATTATATACAGAAAGTTTTGTTTTGTCTTTTGGGGATAAAGGGGTTAAGGAGTCTTGGGAGGGGGAACTTTTTTCAGAGGGTTTCGTTTTGTCTTTTGGGGATAAAGGGATTAAGGAGTCTTGGGAGGGGGAACTTTTTTCAGAGGGTTTCGTTTTGTCTTTTGGGGATAAAGGTGTTAAGGAGTCTTGGGAGGGGGAGCTTTTTTCAGAGGGTTATGTTATGTCTCTTGGGGGTAAAGGGGTTAAGTCGGTTAAGGAGTCTTGGGAGGGGGAGTTGTTTTCAGAAAGCTACATTAGGTCTTTTTAGGGTTCATAATTTATATTCATTTAAGGAGTCCCTTAGAAGGGGGAGGGTCTTCTGATAATTACGTTAGGTCTTTAGAGGGTGTTCGTAAAAAAATTATTTCATTTTACATTTATTTATCTTATTTTATTTTATATATATTTATTTATTGTATATATATATTTATTTATTTTATATATATTTATTTATTTGATTTCATAAATATTTATTTATTTTATATATATTTATTTATTTTATTTTATATATATTTATTTTATTTTATATATATTTATTTATTTTATATATATTTATTTATTTTATTTTATATATATTTATTTTATTCTATATATATTTATTTATTTTATATATATTTATTTATTTTATATATATTTATTTCTTTTATTTTATATATATATTCATTTATTTCATATTATATTTATTTTATATTATATTTATTTATCTATTGATGATTACTATTCTTAAACCATCAATCGAGCAATTCCAAGAAATCAACAAAAAGAACAACCTTAATTGAGTAAAAATTTAAATATATTTAAAAGTAACTGTCATCATTATTTTGGCATTAAGATTGTCATATCATTTAGTTTGGGTATTGAATATCATATAAATATGTCACCTTAAAGATTATAATACTTAGTTGGGAATGTGATAGTGAAGAATATAATATATTATATTGTCTCTTTAAAGATTATAATACTTAGTTGGGAATGTGATAGTGAAGAATATAATATATTATATTGTCACTTTAAAGATTATAATATTTAGTTGGGGAATGTGATAGTGAATAATATAATATATTATATCGTAACTTTAAAGATTATAATATTTAGTTGGGGAATGTCTGATGCTTTCCTACTCTGATATATATAATCAGTTTGTATGGACAATATTTAGTTTTTCTACCATGTTAGTTAAATAAATATAAATATATATCAATTGTTATGAATGTAGATTATATCACAGTATGTGTATGAAATAAAGAGTTTTTTTTCTAATTAATAACTTCATTTTAATTACTTAATAAATGATAGCTGACCTTTGATATTTTATCTATCAACCCTCTTTTTGCAACCTGGGGGCCACAAAGGTCTGGCACTATGTTTGATGTTGCATATTTTTATTAGTAAACACTCTATTAGCCTGCAATTGCGAGTAATCCTGGAAAAACATGTTATCCTACGTATGTGAAATATAAAAAAAAAACATTCACTCTGAAATTAAATAAGCAGATTGAAAGCAACCTTACAGGTCAGGTCCATTGCTTTTTACAATGAATGTGAGGTCTCGGAAAACCTAGTAACACTAATTATATAAAATATTATATATAATCCTGAATCAATGTAAAATATGAAGTTCAGTAGTTTTTAGCCAACGAATCCCCTTTCCATTTGAAGCTCAAAACACATCTCCCAAAAAATCTTGCCCGCTTTTATCATTTGAGTGTCTGAGACTGAGATAATACTTTAACTTGCTTATAGATGACACACACAAAAAAAGTTACCGATGAAGGTTCTCCGAAACCTTGTTTTGCACTCTACATATAAGTTTTATAGCTTAGCATCCGATGGGTTAAAGGAATTGTAAAGAAGTTTTCTTAATTTTTATACGCCCACATGCAATGGGTGCGTACATGGTCATCACCCATGTCCGTCCGCCCGTCTAAACTTGCTAGAAGGCACAATTCTTGGCTGGTTTTGAAGAAACTTGGTATGAGTGTTTGTAATCACCCCCTAATGAAAATCAGAAGAATCCAAAAATAATAATCATGAGTTATTGCCCTTGTCTTTGAAAACGCAGTTATTTTTATCTTGTCAACACTCCAGAAGGTCCAATTACTGAAAATGAATGGAGTTTTACGTCCTACTTTTCTGCACCATGTGGGCTAATGAAGACGGGCAACGCCATGTAGGATGCGATGAGGGAAATTTTGCCAGGACAGCGGCATTAGCCTGCTCTTTTTCGATTTCCAACTGTCGAGGGATCTTTAACGTGCACAGCCTGTAGCACACGGGTTTATTGTCCCATCCGAACGACTAGACGCTTTTTCCATGTCAGCCCCTCTTACCTGCATCACTGACAGGGGGAAACCGGGTTGAAAAATCCGAAGATATTATCTCGACCTATGCCGGGATTGAACCTGGACCTTCAGGTTAGCGAGCAAGCGTCTAACTCACTGAGCCACCGCGGCTCCCCAATTACTGAATGATTTTGACGAAACATTTATAATCATTGCGAGTTATTGTTCTAGAAAACGCATTTAATTTGAACTTGTAAACACTCTTACAAGGTTCAATTATTGAAAGATTTTGACGAAACTTGGCCTGAGTGTTTGATATCACCCAAGGATAAACCCTATTGAAAATTTAAAAAAATCAAAATATGTTTTATGAGTTATTGACCTTGTAAACACTAAAAGGCACGATCCTTGCCGAATTTTGAAAAAACTAGGTAATATTATTCAGTATTGCCCCAAGAAGTGTATGATTGAAGGTTGAATATTTCATACTGTACTGTTACTGTACTGCCAAATATTTTCAAAATCAAAGCTGTCAGTGGGCGTATATTACTTTGCCTAGCAAACTGTCATTTTATGTGTATCTAGAACACCCAGTGTTCAACACTGAAAGCATCAATTTGCACCATTCCAATTTTCAATGGGACGTCTGCGGTCCTTGTAATTTCACTAATCGTTAAGGGTCTTACAATATTAAAGCAATATACTGTTAACCTATGTCGGTTATGGTCGTATATCAGGACACAGGTTGGCTGGTTTAGTGGAAATTGTAGGAACCACAGACATCTTGGAACGGTGCAAAGTAATGTTATCAGTGTTCCCTATACACATAAAAAAGGTACAAAACCTCCTTACAATACTTTTAAGGTACAAAAACAGATACTTTCAATTTTGAAAATAAAATCCAACTTAATATACATCCTAAAAACCAAAATAGTTAGATCTTTTATCAAGAGTTATTACTATACATGAAAAGAATAGTTTAATGGAACATTTTAATAAATAGCAATTTTTCAAAACAATATAAAAAAGAAAACATAATCATGCTTAGATTAATGGTTTAAACCAAAAAATAAGACTAAAGATTTAAAATCCACTATGTAGTTGTCTCTGCAATCTTCAGATAAGAAGTCAAATTACTGCATCATTTTGATTATATAAATAATATAACAAAATATATATAAACCTCAAGTATTTAGAACTTTAGCTGATATATATGAAACAATTTTCAAACATCCACGAGCATTTAAGACACCACAGTTTTTTAGTGAAAAGGGTCCCCATGTACGCCTTTTCTGCATGGAAACAGAGCCAGTTTCTGTAGGTTTAAATAGTCCTGGATGTTTTTAAATGTCTGGGACTTGAATATACTATGAATTCAGTTGCCACATCATTTGAATCACTGCCCTAAAAATTTCAAATTCAAGAAGCAAAGGAACTAAAGGGTTGCCATTCTGTTGCTGAAACTAAAAAAAAAGGTAGTAGCCACTGTGAG